AAAAAAAAAAAAAAAAAAAAAAAGAAACCTTGTCTCAAAAAAAAGAAGATACTTAAATTTTATTTTATATGTAGAGGTATTTGCCTACATGCCTACATGTCTGTATGTCACGTTCATCCCTAGTACCCACTGAGACCAGAAGAGGGAGCATCGTATATTATGGGAGATGTTACCGAACACCATGTGGACGCTGGGAATCGAATCCATATGGAGTGGGTAGGTAGGTGTGTGGAGTGACCACCTCAGAGTCCTAGCCACGGGACGCCGCGTGAGCGCACTGACCTTCAGATCCTGCTCCAGGCTTCTGATGAGCTCCCCGTCCACCTGCCCTGTTTCTGCCACTTTGAGGCTTTTCTGCTCGGCCTTCCTGAGTCGGTACTGCAGGATCCTGCAGTTCTTGTTGGCGCGGTCCAGCTCTCTCCGGAGCTCCTGCAGCTGGTAACCATCCTCTTCGAGATAGCTGTCTCTCATCTCCTCCATCTCTGCACGGAGTTCGTCTAGTTCATCCTAGGGACCCAGACGCCACAGGTGAGCCAGGCCCTCGCAGGAAGGCAGCCTCTCTCCATCCGCGAGCCCACCCCACTCCACCCAATACACTCAATGTCATATGCCCACACACACGCATCAGCTCACGGCCATACCAAGGGACCACTGGAAATTCTCACAGGAGATGGTAAACTCACCAAGTATTCTTCTGAACTGAAGATCTAAAACAGTCCCCATGACTCCTTGCATATCCAGAAGAGAAATCACCTCTACAAATAACCAAGCCCTCAGAGTCAAGCTAAAGGCACCAGTTACGTACTAAGATGAACCAGACAGACCTTCTACCTTCGATGGACATAAAGTTTAGCAGGATAATAACTGTTGACTGCCGTGGAATTACAGCATGCCTGCAAACGTCTCTAAAATTCTATTCTACGATACAAATATCAGCAGCATTCAATGACTCTAATGAAGAACATTTTCCACTGTTTCAAATACACGCTGAGTTTGGTTTGGTTTGGTTTTTCAATCTCCTATCCTGCATCTCTCAAATCTCCCATTTTTACTACAAAGATGAGCGCTCTCTGGATGCAAAAACATTGCATGAAATGATAAAAGTCCAGTCCTCCACACCGAGCTCTGGCCTTAGGCCTCTACCCAGTTCAGTCTGGATATCAAAATGAAATCATACTGTTTCCCATGTCACCAAACAAAACTGTGTTGTTATGTGACCTTCTGAAAAATCAGGATGTTCCCAACAGGCCAGTCTCAATGCTATGGTAACAAACTCCCTGGTACTTTCATGGGGAGCAGAGTAACCTGCCGTAACCGGAGCTCTTCTCCTCAGGTTCCGTCTCCCTGGTCCTGCCTTACAGGCAGAGTCACTATGAAACACCCAGTCTGCTGTCTTCAGTCTGTCTAGAAAAATCTACCCCAGCCCAAGGAACTCTAGATTCAAAGGAACAGGTGAGCTTGATTCCAGAACTGCCAACCCGAGACTTTGACCCCTGGCTTCCCTCCTACCGTACAGCCTAGAAGTTTTATCTTCTCAGTGGGTGACTCTCCTCTCAGGCTCCCAAATCCCAACTCTAATTCAATTCAGGTTTAGGGCCTCAATCCCAAACATAAGAAAACCATTCTGAGGCTCCAAGCTTCCCAGCAAGCCTCCATCCAGATCCTTGGGTGTCTGCTCTACAGCTGGGGAGTTTACCGTTAGAATGTAAATTCGGTGACTCTGCCCATTACCAAGGCCTTCAGGGCTTCTTTTCTTTCTCAAATTCCTGCCCAGCACCCCTTCCCAGCACACTGGGCCTTGGGGAACCTCAGGGCCTGTAGCCCCCTCTGTTCTTCCCTACTGGGAATGTTTCTGCCCAGATCCACGGGGCCAAACCCTCTCGTAACGTGTAAAGCACATGGGTGAAGGCCCTCTGACCGGTCCCGGGGTGTCTGTCCACCTCTCCCCTTTCTCCCATCTCTTATCACCAATTAGTAATATTAGTGTATTTTTTTTTCCAATTTCTCAACCTACCCGACAGTGAGCTCTGAAGGCTAGAAACCTCGTCCCCTGGCCCTTTCCCAGAGCGGCAGAAGGCTCACAGCAGGCTCTCAAAAACATTTGTGGTAATGAACACAAGAAACAGCAACGCGCAGAAAAGACCAAATCTTCAGGACAACGGAACTCCAACTTAACTGCAACACTGCTTTTGCTGCAGTCTTGAGGACTGGTAACGACCCCCCCCCCCAAACCTGCAAATGTAGAGCCATACACTGAATATATATTCTGTCAAATATGAAATATTTCAAAATATTTCAAGAAAAAGCAATTAGAGAAAAGCACTAAGGAAAGCATTCTAAAGCTTTTCGTGACTTGTTTAGTATTTGGTGATTCAAATGCCTACAGAATAAGGCACTCAGTTATTCCTATTTATTTTGTTCAATTAAGACCTGAGGCCCTAGAAAAAAAAGAAGAAACTCTCACCCACACTTGAACGCCCTCAAAAGCCTTTTTGGCCCTCCTATTCAGTTTGTTCCAGGGATCTCGGGGTTCTCACCACCCTCCCCAATCCTGATTTGTTCTTAAAGCTAGGACTTGGCTCCCAACATCTGAGCCTCAGCTTGAGAAGACCCTGCACGGAAAGAAATGTCCCGAAAAGGGGATTATCTTGGGTAAAGGTGATGTAAAGGAAACAGGAGGAAATCCTGGTGGGCTCGCCCCGGAGGAAGATGCTCTCCAGTCAACCTCAGCTACACAGAATATTCTAGAACACAAACTGGGAGCCCACTCCCCCTAATCCCCTAACCCCCTAACCCCAGCTTGCAGCTTCCTCCTAGCTGCCCACTATCCTGAACAACAGAATCCCTGTGGGCTGCCTGCTGGCCAGCTAATCTAACCCGATCGGTGAGTTCCGGATTCAATAGGACATTCTGACAAAATACTAATAATAAAATGAAGATCAACTGTTAACATCCGGCATCCACAGGAGTACACATACATGTGTATGCTTGCATGGACGCGAGCGCGCGTGCGTGCACACACACACACACACACACACAAACTGTCACCTGCTAATGCTCAAAAAAACCCTCACCCTCTTATACAATATTTTATGCTAACATTGAAAATATCACTAGAATAAATCTATTCTGCTGGGTGTGGTGGCACACACCTTTAATCCCAGCACTCTGGAAGGCAGGGGTAGGTGGATGAGCCATAGTTTCTATCAGGGGTTCTCAACCTGTAGGTCACGACCCCTTTGGGGTTGCCTAAAACCATCAGAAAACAGAGATACTTAGTTGTGATTCATAATCGCAGCAGAATGACAATTGAGAAGCAGCCCATGAAAATGATGTTACGGTTGGGGTCACCACAACGTGAGGAACTGTATGTATTAAGGGGTCATGGCATTAGGAAGGCTGACAACCACTCATTAGCCTACCTAGTAAGATCCAATCTCAAAAAAAAAAAAGGCCAAGGTATTAATGCTTAGAATTATCTGTTCTGTTCTTAAAAGACTGTGTATACATAAGAAGATGGCAGATACAGTTCTCAGATATGAAAGTGTTCCTTGGTTTCCACACATTGCAACAGAGGAAGCTGGTCCACCCTACCGCTGGCTATGCCCGAGCGATGGGTTAAACAGCTATTACCAGCTAAAAGCAGTTTCGATGCACCTTCACCTCTGAATGAATATCCCTGGAAAGAAGCTGTGTCTGGCTGTAACAGACTCCCTTGAAGGCGTCTGTGTCTGCGGAGACTGGGGACGGGCTGGAATTTCAGTACTGTGGGAAGATTAGAATTTTGAGGGTTCCGAAGCTGATTACTTTATCTTCGGCGAGTGTTAAGCCTTTTGGAACAGCCACGCCTTGCCCCACTCTGGAGCTGAACAAACACCTCACGATAACAAACAAAGTCTCCCCCTAAAAACTATTAACTCAGCAGAGCAACCGCTTCCACCAAGCCAAGAGCTAAGCACCCTGGGCCTACGACTCCCCCGTTGCTGGAGCCACCTCCCTGCTACACCACCCCCAAGGAGTTTTAAGTGGCTTTACATACAGCTTTCTTTGTTCTGTAAAACCACAAAAGCCCTGTGAAACTGCTTTCACGTTGGAACACGGAATTGGGAGTAACCTAAATCAGTGCTCCTGGGCCATTGGTCACTCAAGATGGCTCCAGAACAAAGTACTTCTTATTCTCTTTAAGATGAGAGCTGTGATTTTTCTGCTGGCACCCCCCAAACCACTGAACAGGCCATATGTAGACAGATAATTTTATTCTGGGTACAAATAACCACCCACATTGGTAGAACTGGATGCTAGAAAAAGATCCGAATTATTCTCACTTCAACCGCTGCTTCCATAACCTCGTATTTTACATCAGTTTCTGAAACAGAAGGTACCCTATATCGTGCACTCTAACCTCCGAGCTAACCCTAAAATAAGCCTCCATTTTCAGTGACAAGAAACCAAAGAGCGGCCAGAGCCTGTAATCTAGGTCTCAGAGCTAAGAAAGGAAAGTTGACTGAAGCAAGGCTGTCTGCTACCACACTCCAGTCTCGAGTAAATACAACAAATTGCCTGTTACAGGCAGGGCAGACGAGACAGTAACAAACCCACAACTGTACTTTTTAAGAGCCCAGCATCCATGTAAACGAAGGAAAGCTGCCTGGCATTTAGAGCCTGAGAGTGGATGGCACACATCCACGTCCGTTGGAGCAACTGGCACTCAAGCAAAGACTGCAGCAGCCTGGGGGGGGGGGGGGGGGGAGACAAAGATTCTCATTTTAAAAGCAAGGAACCCGAGAGTTCAAACGCTCTCCTGACAGAGCAGGCCTGTTTCAGAGGTAAACTGAGGCCGGCGTTCCAACTCTTTCTTATGGCCTGGAAAACTGTGATCTTTAGATTTAAACCCCAGAGGCCAATTATGAATCACGTAAGAGGGCAGTAGCCGCTTGAAACCCGAAAGGCGCTAGGACTCGGACAGGGGTCAGGGTGGATTGTGGTGGTGGTTCTTTCTGAGGACATGGGAGATTTCAGAAGACAGAGTGTTCCCCGAACATTAGAGACGCCTGCCATTTTTGTCATTTTTTTAAAGACTATCAAACAAAGCAGAACATGCATTGTTTCGGCAGATCGAATTTTGATATAGTAAATAAAGCCAAAGAAAATGCTGGTGCTCTACCCCCATACACACACACAAATTTCTCTCTTTTCTTTTTAAGATTTAGTATTACTTTTTTATTTACATATATGTGCCTGGCATGGATTTATGTGAACCATGTGTGTGCAGATGCGCTCTGAGGCCAGAAGGTATGGGACCCTTATGAGCTGCAGTGAACTGCCAAGTGGGTGCAGGAATGGAACCCAGGTCCTCGGCAAGAGTGGCAAATGCCCTCACATGCTGAGCCATCTCTCCAGCCCCCCCCCCATGACCTTTTAATGCAGGATTTATAAGGGAGAAAAAAAAGCAGTATCCTTAATCAATATTGCTTTTGAGCATTAGACTGCTCGCATAATTTTAAATATTAGGTCATTATCTCATTCGAAAACTACATTTTTATGATATATATTTTTAATCTGTAAAATATTACATTGTGTTTATTCTTGCGGGGAGGGGTTACACACCACATACTTAAGGAAGCCAAGAGAATTAACTTTCAGAAATTGGCTCTCTCTCCTTCCACCAGGTACGTGGCGGGCATCAAACCCAGGTTTGGCAACAACGTTGATACCCGCTAAGCCACCTCCCTGCCCATTTACTGTACTTTTAAAATATTTTATGTAAAATGGGTTCTTGAGATTGCGTGAAGCTGCCCAATGACTCTCCTTTGCTACAGATAATGAATAAAGCCTTTTAACAGACATCAGATTGGAAGGGGGTTGGGTGCCACCTGTGTCTACCCATAAACACAAAATCCAGGGTTCCTTGGTATGACTACCCAAACTCTAGATCACACTAATGACGATATTCAAATGTCATTTCTCTTCATCAAAGATTAATGGCACACATGGGTGAGAATGCCGTAATAAAATCCATCCGTCAGTCGGTACCTGGACGTTAAAAAAGATCAGTAACTATTCATACGTTAATAATTCCTTGCAAACAGACCCAGCGGGAACACTTGACGGTCCTTTGGTTGCTGTTGCAATAGTCTCCTCTTCTGGGAGTTTACCGCAGAAAATACTGTCTTTTGTCATAGAGGAATAATCCGCTTCATTTCCTTTGGGACAAGGGAAATGCTCTGTGCGGGGGGGGGGGGGGGGGGGGGGGGGGGGGGGGGGGGGGGGGGGGGGGGGGTGACCAGCTGTGGCTGAGCAGGCCCGGGGACGGCTACCATTGTTTCCCAAGTCACAGTCCAGCCAGCAGCTGAGTGGCGGCGACTGTCCCAGGCCACAACATCTTGCCACCTAAGATTAGCATATTGGTGCTTTCATGGCTGAATAAAGAAAGCACCAATATGTAAAGCAGAATGTCGGGGAAGAATAAAGAATATCCCTGTTAACACTCTCCCCCTCACCCCCAAGAAAAAGGAAGGCGAAGGAAGGGGGGAGGGGAGGAGGGAGGAGCTGACCCTCCAGAGGCTGAGATGCTAATTCTTGGCCTTACTAACACCCAGCCCTCAGGCCATGCTAAGAAGCACCTGCCATTCAGTCAGCCAAAAGGAACAAACCCTGTTGGCCTGAAACTAAAAATCTCCCCCAAAACTCGGGGTGTTCTGGGTACCGAGTCTGTGCTTACTATCCAGATGACGGGGTTCAATCCACGTGACCTCCCACAACACCTCAATGATTAAGAAATCACTCCACCCAAGAAGCCGGTGTTCCGGCCCTCATTTTTTTTTTTTTTTAAGTAAAAGTGATTCTTAGAAAATAACCCAGAAAGCAGAGCGGAAAGGAACAACCCTTCCTAGCCTAGCACTGGGCCACCACACAGGACGTGGTGTCCGGGTGGTGTCCACTGTCCAGGGGCACGTTGTGAGCGCGTCTCAGTAAAGAGTGAAAGACTGCTAAGGATGTTTTTGAAACCTGCCAGTGAACTCAGTGATGACCTCGGGAGAAAGCCCGCAGAAACAGAGGGCATAATAAATACGTGGGCAATGAGCAGCCCTACTTGTCCGATTGTCCCAGGGCGCTCAAGCGAAAATGCCAGGCAGGGAGGAACCAGGCGAACGGTTTGTGAATTCTGTCCTCAGCAATAAGAAACTTGTCTGGGTTTGTCTAGAACAGACCCAAAGGATACCTACGCTGGATACCTTAATTTCTGAGTATTCTCTGTGAGTTAATCAGAGGTCAAGTGTGTTTCTACTTGTCCTTTCGAGCAAAGGCAAGCCACCGGAACTGAAGCATTCTGGTTTTTTTTTCATCTAATTATCTAGTGCCCTTTGATGAAAGAACAGACAAGAGTTAGTGATGACCCTACACGCTCCTCACAGAAGAGAAAGTGTCATAACCCAAAAGATGCCCTTCAAATTTCCTTACCAGTGAGACATCCTCCCAGACCTTATTTTCTTATTCCAGACACTTTGGTCAAATCAGAAAGTTCTGAACCGCCACGGTAACAGTTCTCTCTCAGAAAATAATATGATGCTTCGCGTAATCACAACATCCAGAACCTGTAAGTGTAAAACCTCTGGACGAAATCTCTTCTTAGAGAACACTGGTGTAACCAGATGCTGTTATCTCAGGAGTTCTGTGCGAGAAGCAGGCATCCCTCTACCATGGGGGGAGGGGGCAAGGTACCCCAGGGTGGTATCAATAAGCAAAAGGCAAAATGAAGTTTATAACTTACACATTCTAGCTACCACGAGCAAAAAAGGAATGCCGACGGCCCACACCTCCTGAGGTCACTGTGATAGTCCAACCAGTGTCTACACAAGGGGGCAGGCTCGTTGACCTGTAGGAGAGTCCGTTAGGATCCGTGTTCTTTTCAAAACTGAACTCCTATATATAAGAAGCTTCTGAAGGACCCAGCAGACACACGGCATACATATACCAGGCAACTATTCTGGCTTCCTGCTCCTCCTTCACACCCCTTCTAACCAATTCTTTCTCCTGCTGTCCAAGGAAAGGCTGAAGGATGGAGTCCAGGGCTCAGCGAATGGACAGCCAGGACACTTTCTCCCCGGGAAGCAGCAACCGAACACGTCTTGCAGATCAAACCCTACCAGTGGGATTTCTGTAGCCTTTCACAGGCTGGTGAGACATGCTCATTATGGGCCTTTCCCCTAGGAAAGCAAAAGAGAGCTCCTCCGAAGTATTGTGTGGTGTACAGGCAGAGTGCAGCCCGGGAGGAGGCTCTGCAGAAGGCAAACAGAAGGGGCACCACTTCTGAGCGAGATGCTGAGTGTCTGAGGAATCAGAGTTAGGATGGGCACAACAGCAGCAGGGACTGGAAGGTGTGGGCCTTTAGCACAGACGTCGCTCAGCGTGCGCGCGGCCTTGTGTTCTACACCTAGCATGCTGGAGAGTGGAGGATGCGGGCAAACCCCAAACCATGTTGTAAAGGTTCCATGAAATGTCAAATACGCATAAATCAGACTCCAAGGTCAGACAGATGCTTTCATTCACTGGGGGTTTAAGCAAACGTTCAAAATCGAGGAAGGCAAGGCAAATAAAGCGGTTATCCAAAAATGAGCTTAGAAAATGATGTCTAAGGGGCCTGCTCTCAGATGGAGGATGCTGTGACAGTTTCTTTAAAGAAAACTCCATTTTCCGCTGCCCGGCAGTTTGGATCTGGATGCCTGGGATTTGATCAGGACTACTGCAGGCCATGGGGCTGCAAACGCGTGGTTTCTTTTCTCACCCCGCAGGACGCTGTGTTCCCTAGTGCTACACACACACGCGCGCGCGCGCGCGCGCGCGCACACACACACACACACACAGCACAGCTGCCTTATTCTGTCCACACCTCTGAAATGTACGCTGCTGTCTATTACGTAAGACCGAGTGGCATATACATTACCGGAAGCATCCCGAAGTGCTCAGTTCTCCCTTCTGTCTCCGCCTTGCTTCACGCACGATAACTACTGGACTCAAGAGTAACTTCTGATAAACGATTTGGGTTCTGAGGACCCACAGTTAAGGTGCTCATTCCAGCTTGACTTGTTCACCAATCACCTTAAAAACCTGGAACCTACCCCCCCCCCCCATCCCAGCCTCAGCACAGGGCCTCAATCAGGCAGGTCCAACACCTGCTAACAAAACAAACCACATAACCCACTGGAGAAAGCATGGGCAACCTGGCTCTGTGGAGGATATTCAACAGGAAGGTACCAGAGGTGTGAAGAGTTACATTCCTGGTGTTATTTACTAACCAGAGGGTTACAAAAATTAGGTCACTTTCACACACATACACACACCCGAGAGCACGCGCCCAGTTTTCTCCTATCAAACCACCACTTAGTCTCCACCCCCTGCTGTTTTCTCTGTACAACCCAAATGTTTAACTCAACCCCCAACACTGTTTATACCCTCTGCTCTGCAGGCCAGCCCCAAAGACAAGAAGGAGACCGATTATCCATCCCGGGGCTAACAAGACAAGACCATGGCTGGCAGGCCCCACTGGGTAATACTCAAGAAGCTGCGGTTCCTTCGAAAGAGTCCTTCCCTGACACAGGTTTTGAAAACCTACTTGTGGTCACTCACACAGGGCTGCTCCCACAAATACTGCTGTCCCTGAACACAGGCCGCAAGTTCAAGGCGCTTCTTCTGAATTTCAAATCTGTTTATCACTAAAAGGACCAGCCCCCTCTGCTACACCCACAAAGGCCAGGAGGAGAACGAATGCGGGCCCAGCTTTCTGAACCCTCGGGAGGACCTGCGGGCCAGTCCGGCACCTGGAAACCATACTGCACACAAGTGCATGGATGGGGTCACGGCTGGGCATTTAGATGACCCGCAACAGGTGACACTGCGGGGGGGTCCATGTTTTCAAAATGATTTACAGCCACCCAAAAGGCATCAGCGAAAACACGCAAGACTTCTAAAAAACAGTAAGAGTAAAGGACTGAAAAACAGACCTACAAGTCACAAGTTTGGGGGTTCAGTTACTAGAACCTAGTAGATCTGGAGAGCAGTGGGGTGCAAAACAGAAGAGGTAAGAAGTTAATGAGGGTCCCCCCAGGAGACAGGGTTCGGAGGCAGCCAGAGGACCCGGGGTCGGCCTCTGAGACACCTGCCACGCCAGAGGTCGCTCACCTTGAGGTAGTCATTTTCCGAACGTAGTTCCTCCATCTCCCTCAGCAGCTCTTCCTCCTCGGCCACCACCAGGAGCCGGGGCTGTTCGCCCAAGCTAGGCTCCCTGGGGGTCCCGAGAATCGTCCGCTCCGGTAGCGTTCGGCCCCCAACATCCTCCAGCGAACCGGGTCCCGGGGACCCTGAGGGGGCCCCGCCTGGGCTGCTTCGGCCCCCGAAACTGGCACCAGCGACAGGGGGCGCCGTGAGCAGGGCGGGGGGCTCGGGGCTGCCCGGCGGCGGCCCGCGGGCTCCAGAGCTCTGGGTGGGTGCTCCGCGCAGGGGTTCCCGGTCACTGGAGCCGGTGCCCGACTCGGCGTCGCTGCTGGCGGCTGGGAGCAGGCGCTGCTCATCAGACAAGGGTTCGGAGGCGCAGTCGGAGAGATCCGAGCTGCTGTCCGTGTGGCTGATACGCGAGCCGGCCACCGAGGTCACCGAGAGGGTCACGGCGGGGACCCGGGCGGCTGGAGCCGGGGGCCCGACGGCGCGAGCTGGAGGCGTCCCGGGGCTGCGCTTGGCTTTGCGGCCCTTCACGATGGCAGGCGGCGGCTCAGCCCCAGCTGGCCTCCCGACCCGGGGGAGTGGTTCCGCCGGCCCCGAGCGCGCCGCCCTCCTGGTTCCCGGGGCGGCCTTGGCGCCACCCGCCGACCTGGCTCCGGAGCCCGGCGGCGGCTTGTCCTTCGCGCCGGGGACTACGCCGCTGCGTCGGGAGAGGCGGCCGGGTGCGGCCGGGGGCCCGGGCGACGGCGGCGCCTTTCCAGCAAGGCTGGGCGAGCGTGGAGCGGCGGGAGTCGGGGCACGGCCCGCAGAGGAGGTGGTGGCCGTGGCGGGCCGCGTGTGCAGATCCTTGAGGAAAGGTCTGGCGGGCGAGGGTGCGCGGTGCAGCCGCCTCCTCTCGGCCAGCGGGTGCAGGTGGTGGTGGCGGTGATGCTGGCCGGCTGGCTGCGGCTTGGTGTCCGGGGCGCCGCCGCCCGCGGGGCCGTTCAGTGTCTCCATGGCCCGGGCGGCGGCCGCGATCCGCAGCTCAGGCGGCAGATGCTCCGGGCGGCGGTGGCGGCGGCGTGCTGCCTCCCCGCGCGCCCGGTCATCACTGACCCCCTGCCCCGCCCGGCGTGCGCCCCGCGCTCCCGCCGTCCCCTCCCCCTCCCTGGGCACACCCGGGGGAGTTTCTCCCCTCGCTCAGGTCAACGGCGCTTGGGTTCTCGTGGCACAGCCGCCGCGGTCGTTCGCATCCCCAGCACCGCGCGTTCAGAGCTCGGGAGCAGCCGCGGCCTCGCACAAAAACACTTGTCTGGCGGCGCGCGCCTGGCTCCTGCGTTCCGCTCCCCGCCCACTGCCAGTCCGCGGGGACCGGCTGGCAGCCACGGCTTCTGCTTCTGCCCGGCGGCTCCGGCGGAGAGAAGCTGCACGCGCGCTCCCCTCCGTCCCGAGCCCGGCGCGCACGCCCCGCCTCCTGCCAGCCGGCCGGGGAGGGGAGGGGACAGGAGGGGCGGGAGGGACTGGAGGGCGGAGCCGGAGCTCTTGGGGACGCGGAGCCCCAGTGCCCACGCGCCCACAAGTCCTCTCCTCCAAGGACCACTCTTTGCCTTCGGATGTACTGGGGACGCCACCCACAGCTGGCTAGGGAGAGAAAACGCTGGGGTAAAGGGAGGGAAGAGAGCGGGCATCGGCCACTTGGGGACTCTGAAGGTGCGGGCGGTGTGGAGGGCCCCTCTGAAGTGGGTGCCAGCTTTCTCTCCTTCGGCCCAGCTCCCTCTCTCCCCCTCGTACCTCTCCTCTTCTGCACGCTCCCTACCGTTCTCCCCAGAGCTTCTTTAAGGATCACTGGTACTGGATGCAGCGTCAGGACCAGCATAGCGCTCCACAGTTGGCACCCCCAGTGGCCTGGGCAGCTCCGAGAGGGAGGAGCCGCTGTAGAAATAGGAGAAGCAGTTCGCCAAGCTTGGAGTCTGAAAGGGAGCTCACATTTATAGTTCCTGCGGCCTTGAGTCAGGCGCTGCCCGGTGCACGCTTTATCGTCCTAGTAACAGTCCCGAATTGGAAACGCTGTCTTCAGAATGAGACACGGGCGCGAGGAGGTGAAGCCGCTTGTCTGAACTCCGCCGCTGAGCCGGGATTCAAACCCAGGTCCGCGGGAGTCTCAGCCAAATAGGAACCCGAGTCCGGTCTCCGTCCCGTGGGCAAGTCGCTTGGCCTTGAGAGTCTCGGATTCCCTCCTCACCTGTAGAATCAGAGAATACCGACTCTGGATGTATTCTGATTAAACGAGGAAATAGGAAGACGCACTCATCACCTGGAAAGTGTTTTTTGACAGATAGTGAGCAAGCTTTACGACCCAGGCTTTGGATGGGCAATAAATGCGCCGAGTGAGGACAAGCTTAAGTTGTCCTTCGTCTAGCCTTGGCGTTTGGGAAGCAAAGGGAACTCTTTGTTTTCCTGAAAGATGTGCTGGTCTTTGGGCAGAGGCTAGTTCACAGCCCAGTGTAAGGAGGATAAGGCTTACAGCTAAGTCTGTGGAGGGGAGACGGAAGGACTCCGAGCCTGAGTCATCTTTGCTGAGAAAGATCCCGGAGCAGCAGGATGGGGCCGAGGGAGGTGAGTGGGGGTGGCTGCTGCATAAAGAGAGAGGAGAGGACAGACTTGGAAATGGGAAAGGAAAACTGTACTCCAAAATCTTCTAACGACAGAATGGTCCTACTTAGCCGGAACTGTCCGAAGATGCAGGAGAAACTGACTTTTTTTTTTTTTTTTTTTTTTAAGTATAAATCCGGAAAGTCATGCTCCTGGAAGATGCCGCGTCTTGTTGGAGCTAAAAACTCAGACCCTACTTGCTCTTACAGGCCTGGACTTCTGGAAATCTTTTGAAAGTGAGATAATACCAAATATAATCCGTCCTGAGTTAATCGTGTCCCTTAGAATGCTTGGAGTGGGAAAGAACGCTAGTTGGTTAGGTGGTGAGCCAGGAAAGAATAGAGGCCGGCAGCCACGCTTGATGAACCATGTCCACTAGAGGGCGCTCCAGTGCCCCCTTCGGAACCAAAGCGGCGACTCCAATCCCCTGCAGGTGGCTCAGAACCCCCACACCCTCACATTCCTGAAGAATTAGGTTCAGGACTCTAAAGCACAGCATGTCACCTCTCAGACTATATACACAGTCACGCAAATTACACCCAAAAGCGTTTCACTAAGTTGTCTTTCAAAAACATCCACGAGACTGGTACCCAACTTCCTTTCCCTTCAAAGAGGACAAAGTTCCTCTTTCTTAGGGTGATGATGATGCTACTGCACTGGCCCGGGTGTTAGGTAATGCTTTGTTTTCCTGCTTCCTGTGAGTTAATGAGTTTAAAGAAACAGGTGCTTGTTGGGTTGGTGACACGGCTGACTGGGGTAGCTCAGTGAAAGCGAGTGGACTGGAATTCCAACCACACCCCAGGTAAAAAGCGGAGCGTCCTTCTGTGACCCGCGCACTGGAGGAAATGGGTCCAGTAGATCCCGGAAGCTCTATGGTCAGCCAGTCTAGCAGAAACAAATGTGCTCTGGGGTCTCGAGAGAGTGAAGGAGAGAGAGAGAAAGAGAGGAGAAGACAACTGAGTGTGCTCTGGGATGCAAACTAAACACGCACCACACACCCACACGCAGGCAAGTGTGGACGGGCACTTGAACACACACGCATGCACGCACCACGAGCACGTGCGGTTCTGCTGCCTGTGGGCAAGATGTTTCAAGTCGACTGTAATTTGAGAATTTGTTTTCTGTAATCAAATTAGTCTAAAGATTAATGATTTGTAATTTAAACGAAACTTAATTATTTTTTATTCTGAACAACAAAACAGGATGTGCCTGTGCCTGCTTGGTTCCTCTGCCCTTGGATGTAAACCTTTACTCGGCCCTCGTCAGAAAGTGCTGGACCAGGGCTGGAGAGATGGCTCAGTGGTTAAGAGCATTGCCTGCTCTTCCAAAGGTCCTGAGTTCAATTCCCAGCAACCACATGGTGGCTCACAACCATCAAAGAGGTCTGGCACCCTCTTCTGGCCTTCAGGCATACAGACAGAATATTGTATACATAATAAGTAAATAAATATTTTTTTAAAAAAAGAAAAGAAAGTGCTGGACCAGCCTGCCTCCACCTTAGTCTTAAAGGCCGTCTTATGGCAGAGGCAGGCGGATCTCTGAATTAGAGGCCAGCCTGGTCTACAAGAGCTAGCTCCAGGACAGGCTCCAAAGCTACAGAGAAACCCGAAAAAAAATATATATATATATATATATGCATATATATATATGACAAACTAAAAATAAAAGACAAAAGATAAATAAACAGATTCATTAAATTTGCTTCTTCTCAAGGATCAGGAATCCTATGCACAATCTTTTTTTTTTTTTTTTTTTTTTTTTTTTTTTGGTTTTTCGAGACAGGATTTCTCTGTGGTTTCCTATGCACAATCTTAATGTCAAAAGGTTCTGTACTGCCCGTTCCAGAAAACAGCAACAATGTCTTTGCTTCAAAAGTTTGTTATAACACCCCACACACGACCTTGCAACCGCGCCTTTGTTTCAGGAGGTAGAGGTCCTTCGGACTCACTTGTTAGGCGTCTGTTCCTGTAACCCTGCCTGTTTTGCCCACCAAATCCCCCCCCCCCCCTTTTGGAAACTCTCCACCCCTGAGCTATAAAAACTTTGTCTTCCTCTCAACCCTCCTTGACTTCTTGAACCCAACCTTAGCCGCAGGCACTCTGTGTCCACAAATGAAAAGCTGGCTTTAGTTAATTGCTGACTTTAATCAATTTGCCCAAGGTGATGTGGGCCAGTGAGTGGTCTTTTTCCTCAGATCTTCGGGATGAACAGGTGACTAACACAAGAGGGGTTTCCAGGCTTGTGCAGTTGTTGACTGGGTTTGGACGGGGCAGTGGGGGGGGGGGGTACTGTCGGGGGATTGGAGTGGTCCAGGAAGAGAGGAAACAACATATTACCCTCGCTTCTCGGCCTTCAGGTGTCCCGTCCAGCCGTGGCCAGTCTTCACGGGGTGGCATTCCTAGGGTCTCTCTGTCCCGGGGTGATCTGCCTTTTCTGATAACTTTTCATCTTCCCATTACGGGACCCGACAGCCAAAGATTCTGGCCTCAATCTGTGCTTGCCAATCTCTGCACCTCTTCAGTCCCCCAGTTTGGGTCTGGGTTCCTCCATCAGCTCTGTGACCGACTATGCATGAGAACCATGTTGGATTGGTAGTGTCCACTCCAGAGGTCAACCGTTCTCCTTCTGCAGAGACTTAGATGAAGTTCTCTCAAGTCAGGCACTCAGCCCCGTGTACAGCCGTATTGTCACCTCCTTGTCAAGGAGCTGTGTGGTGTGGCGGCCAGAGTTGGTGGGGCACAGATAACAGGAAAACCTGAATACTGCCGAAGTTATTCGTTCTCGCTAGGCGGTGGGGGTGGTGGCGGCGGCGGCGGCGGCGCACACCTTTAATTCCAGCACTCTGGGAGGCAGAGGCACGCGGATCTCTGTGAGTTCAAGGCCAGCCTGGTCTACAAGAGCTAGTTCCAGGACAGGCTCCAAAAAGCTATGGAGAAACCCTTCTCGAAAATTAAAAAAAAAAAAAGTTATTTGTTCTCTGTGGCTGGAATTTCCTTTGGCCCTTCCCCTGCCCTCCCCACCTCTTCCCTTCCCTTTCTTTGCCTTCTCCTCCTCCCTGCCTCCCTCCCTTTCTCTTGTTGCTATGTTGCCCAGGCTAGCCTTACTCCTGTGCTCATGGACGCCTCCTGTGTCAACTCCCCAGGTTAGCTGCCACTATAGCCCTGGGCTGCTTTCTTCTGTGTGAGTGGGTGCCCCTCAC